TGTGTTTCATGCTTGTTATTCAGTCTTTAATTAGATTGTTGGTCACATATTTATGTACATGTCACAATGATCTTCCTCTCTCGCCCCTGTGGGTGTTTAACACCTTCCCCAGAATGACTATAATGAGCAGTTTGACAGTGCTCAAATACAAATTAGTATAAACAGCTGTCACTGATGTGATGATTATTTTAATCTAAATCAAAATCAGAATATTGGTCACTCTGTTATTTTCAATGAAGAACAGAGACGGCATGAAATATTCAATGTTCAAGATCCAAGATGTTTCTTGTCACCACAAAACACAAATGGTTACGCTGAGCATGAAATTCTTACTTTGCAAGTTCCCTTCATGCAACTGAATAAACAACTAATTAACCCCCCCACCCCCACCCCCTCTAACTCTAAGCATAGAAAATAATGAATAAGTGTAAGTAGTTATGCAACACTGTCACAGTGTTAAGATATTCAGAGTGTACAAATATTAAAATTGTTTATATTGTAAGTTGTATTATATTTTATATAAATGTTCAAAATTGCAAATTTACAGATCAGGTTATTGAGGCAGATAATCACAGTTCAATAATTAGTTAGTGAACAACAATTAGTCAATGATTCAGTAGCCTGCGGATAGAAACTGTTTTTTAGTCTGGTTGTCCTCTCTTTCAAACTCCTGTAGCATCTGCCAGATGGCAGGAGTGTAAACAGTGTGTGCTGTGGGTGGGTGCAGTCCCTAATGACATTGTCTGCCCTTTTTTCTGACCTGGGTGTTGTAAATGTTCTTGTAGTGGTGGAAGGGGTACTCCACAGATGAATTGTGCCATTTTATTGACACACTGGTTAGCATTCCTGTCCTTAATGGTGCTATTCCTGTACCACACTATGATGGAGGTTGTTAGGATACTCTCCACTGTTCGTCTGTAAAAGTTACTAAGCAGTTTGGGGGGTGATCCAAATTTTCTTAGCTTCCTCATTGTTGAGCCTTCTTGATGATCTGCCGTGTGTTATGGGTCCAGTTGAGATCCTCACTGATGTGGGTGCATTGGAATTTGAAGGTGTTCCCCCTCTCCACCAGAGTCTCGTTAATGTATAGTGGGGCATGCTGGTCACTCCTCATTCTCGGATCAACAATCTTCTCCTTAGTCTTCTCGGCATTTAAGAAGAGATTGTTTTCCAGCCACCAGGACACAAGTTGGGCCACCTGTTCCCAGTTGGCAGCCTCCTCTCCACCAGTGATCAGCCTGAAGATGGTTGTGTTGTCAGTGAACTTAATGATGGAAGTGTTGCACTGGTAGGGGATGGAGTCATAGGTGAAGAGGGTGTACAGGAGTGGACTGAGCACACAGCCTTGGGGGATCCCTGTGCTTACTGTCTTTGTACCTGATGTCCTGGTACCAACTCTAACTGCCTGAGGTCTGCCTGTGAGGAAGTCCAGGACCCAGCGACAGCGGGAGGGTGTCAGACCAAGAGTGAAGAAGTTTTCCTTCATTACAATTGAAGTGATTGCGATG